TATTAAGTGATAAGTACAGTATTACACATGTAGTTCTTGAAATTCATTATATTTATTATTGAGGGGAAGGAGGGATTGATGATAAAAACAACGTGAATTTAGTTGTTTTTTTTTTTTTTGTCAGACATTGAATTTTGATCTTGCCCCTTTAAGACGATAAAATTGAACTGGCATTCCTTGTTAACAGGCAAGACATTATCAAAATATGGACGTTAAAGCCTAACAAATGGTATCATATCGACATTATTAATTCGGAATATATGAAATAATTGGATTATTTCTATGCATTTTTTATTGCGACAAATATTACGCAAAAATTATCATAATTTTAACAAAGTCAAGAAAGCTTGCTCAGGGCAGTTAAATCAGCCAGAGTATTTTTTTTTCTGATCTCCTTGTACAAGTTGACAAAAGTTTGACGCCATATACATTCCATTTGAAGATGACACAAATTCTATTTTGCAATTTTAAGGTGCAACACAACAACATGAGGCGGTAATAAGTTTCCGTATATTTGTCTTCGGTCTTTTCAATAAACAATACTAATCAAAGGCATAACACAAAAAACTAGTATGCTGTTGTTCCAGTAAATCTTTATCACGCACACTTCAAACAAATTTGATCGAGTCGTTTCTGTACATTTCCTATAAATAATGGTCTATTCTTTACTTAGATATATCAACTCTTTAGATCAATTTTTATCTCGTTATAACGAGATAATTATCTCGTTATAACGAGATAACTAACTCGTTATAACGAGATAACTAACTCGTTATAACGAGATACTAACTCGTTATTACGAGATAATTATCTCGTTATAACGAGTTAAATATTTTTTTTGTCTTGTCAAAAATGAGCCTATCCGGCTTTCGTAAATTCGTAATAATGAATTCAAAAAATTGTTACGAATTAAATTCTTTTTAACAAACTCTAATAATTTAATTTTGTTTGTATTCTAGCCTCTGATTGGTTAATATCCAAAAAGGAACACAAATTATTTCTGTATAACCTGGTTTGGTATGGGGACACCCCCCCCCCCCTACAACCAGCTGAATTATCTGTATCCATACAATCTCATTTCCAGTCCTCGGGATTCATGGAAAATTCCAGATTTAATAAATTTACCTTTAACTTAATAATAATTCGATCTTACCACTTGTAAACAAACAACAAGGCTGCTAGGCCTATGCATCAGTTTTTACCTCCCCTCGCTTCCCATCACTTCCGTTACTACGGTTGTATTATTGAGCGGCAAATTTGAACTAATAAAAAGCAAAGAAATTTTACACCCTTAGTTATTTAATAAATTAAATTATAAGGAATGACTCTAATTCTTGGCCAAATTATTCGAGTATAACCTGGTTTGGGTCAGTTTACGCTGTTTTATAATCCGCTTCGCGGATTATAAAGCGTAAACTGACCCAAACCAGGTTAATACTCGAATAATTTGGCCAAGAATTAGACTCATTCCTAAAATAAACCAATTCGATAAATCGAATTCATATGCATATTTCTATGCACCCTCAATGTAGAATTCGATTTACTCCTTACCGATTAAGAACCATTCTCTGTAATGACTTGGACTTTTATACAGGAGCTGTGGAACGCATAGTCTCAAAATTTCTGCAAACTCTCTATGATAAAAGTATTTGATACCGTAAACTCCAATCAGGCTAAAATTGGTTGCTATACGTGTTATGGTTACCATGAGAACATTTCCTAAAGTTTGAAAAATGGAATTTTTCAACATGTTCATAGTCCCACAGTTAACGTTTGCAGCAAAGCAAACAAGTGGCAATGACTGTTTTTGAAAGTTGAAGACCTGATGTCTTAAATGCATGATAAACAGTTTTGGTAAATCAACTATTACATACGTTACTATGGAAACAAAGTATTCAAAAGTAATAATTTTGCGTCATACTTTTAAGAATAAAAACAATTACGTGTTTAGGTTGAAATGCAAGCAAATAATAGACAAAAGTTCCTTGTAACATATACCAAGGACGAAATGATATTTCTTATAGGTTGGCAATGGTTGCAATGGTTTTAATACTATGAAGGGATTTTAAAGGATGACTGCACTTAACGCCTGTTTTTGGGTCTTTTTCGGTTGCTTCTGTTGCTTTTATATCTAAACCTTAATTCACTTTTGTATGTTTATGAAAGAATCCTGCCAATTTGGAACCAAATTTAAATCTCAAAATGATTTTAGACTGTGATACAATAAAATGATTCAATGTTTTTTGTCCTTAGTGCTTTCCAAATATAGTGAATTTACACTTACCTGCCCTTGATTGAACATTTAGATATGCATGAGAGGTGGAGCTAACATTGTAAATATGGGTCTAAAATTAGACTTGATAAATAACAATGACATGTTTGAAAAAAGAACGTGATCACTCTTTCCAATCTCCCTCTCCATTCCATATGGCACAAATAGACTTCTGACAAAGGTTTCAAAACGAAACTAACAATATGAGCACGTCAATGTAATTAAAGCATTGTATATCCATGCCAGATGACTTAACGTGTTCGAACACAATGTCCTAGTTAGCACAAAACATGCTACCTTACAAGTCACGTGACGGAATTTAGTATTCACAAAGTTACCTGAGGTAGGACATCACGCGGTTAATTATAATATTCAACATGTCACAATCCTTGGTTACAACACAGAGAGCGAATGTAAGAAGAAGCAGTTTTTTTCTCTTTTTAACCATGAGCGCATGTTTGTCTATTAATCTCCTTTTGACACATTATTATTTATGCAAATATACAACTGCTGTGAAACGGAGAACAATAGACAAACATGCGCTGACTATGTATAAAGTCAGTAAAAAAGTGGGCGTCCTCATTATCGTACGGAGATTCAAGAAATTGTGATGACCCCTGCCTTTGAAAACAGATTCGAACTTCGTAAATACACACTTTTATTAAACGTAATTACATAAAGTTGCAGATTGGATGTTGGCCATTCTTGCAATGAAAAGAAAAATGCTTGTTTTGAAAGTTTATTTTGTCGCAATTTTCGCATGTCCTTAAGTGCAGTCATCCTTTACTCCCTTAGTGTTTTACTCTTATCCTATCTTTTTAAGAAGCATATTTCTATATAACTGATGATCAATTTGTAAAGGCGTTGGTGTGACCCTAATTTTCACATTTCAAATTCAATTCTTTAAAAAGAGCGTTGCTATGGAAATTAGCCGAAAAAATATGCATAAAAATCTGAAAAATATTCTGTTTCCTTGGATACGTACCCTTGTATGTAGATTCCCAAAACTTCTATGATTGATATTTACGAACAACAAATCTGACTTTCAATTTTGACTACCACTCAATCTCTAACTGGATGCAAGAAGCTGGCACATAGGGTTTAATATTGATATAGAAATAACAAAATCAAACATTTTCCCTTCTTGGTAACCATAGTAACGGTGTTGTATTTTTCAACAAACTTTATCGATATATGATATTCAACTTTAGTTCTACCTGATAAGTACTATTCAAGGTGAGTCAAATATGTTTCTTGATTAAAAGGTAAGTAAATTACCATGTCAACCATGAAAGTTATTTTTAGAATAATATTGCCAATACCTAATTACTTAAGGTCAAATATTTTTATTGTTTTTCTTAGTTTGTTGATCGAGTTTGGTAATGTAACATCTATCATTGGTGAATACTGAGCGTTTTTTTGCAATTTTCAGCATCTAAAATGTATTCCAAATGTACCCATGGTTACAACTTACTTAGAGATAAATTCTAAATAGTTTCTTTATAGTATAGTATAAATGGCAACAAGGTGTCATGCTTTTGTGAGAATGGTTTGTTCGTTTTTCTTAGTCTTTATTAAGGCTTAATAAAGATTCAAAGTATTTGAAAATCTCAGTTTTTCCAACGTCTCTGACTGTTACCATGGCAACCAAGACAAATAGCAACGGAATTTTATTTGACATATGTTTCAATGGAAAAAAGCATGTAGAGGTAAAATGTGTCGCACATATGTTTATCATTTACATCAAGAAAAAAACAGGGTCCACATAAATGCAAAAATGAATGCATAACACACAAAAAGAAACCAAAAAACCCAACAGCAACAACAACAACAACAACAACAAAAAAAAAAACCAGGCCATCTTTAATGTTTGTTTGCCCTCTCCCGACTCAGTATAAAACAACTGGGTAGGTAGGTAGGGTGATTTTTTTTATTTATTGTTAAAAAAAAAACCCACTTGCAAATGTGAAGTTAAAATAGTTATTAAAGGGATGAGAAAACTTTTGGGAAAAAAATTCTTTCTGGAGGTTAAAAAAAGTTTGAGTCAGGCCGTTTATAGTCAGTTGGTTGGGAGAGGGCAAACAAACAATTTTTTTTTTAAATGGCCCCAGCAACTGTATGTCATACACCTGTAACCAGTCACACAACAATTTTTACAGAATTCAAGGTAATTGAAGTAAACATGAAAAAAAGTTGAAAAAAAAAAAGTAAACTTTGCACTTTTTTGTCATTATGTTTATAACTACTCGAAAATACTTCATAAGTTTTCATACAGTTGATACACATTTACTAAATGCTGCTAATGATCTCTTATGAATTATCCTTGTTCTTTTAAAATTCTCAAAGGAGTACATGTACTGAAAGTCCTGAAGTGAACTGAAAATTAAAGAATTTTAAATTTTCTCACAAGGGTGATAACTCAGTACACGCGTTTTTATGTAACTTATCTTTTGCAATGTGTTTTGCAAAGTTTCAAGCAAACTGATTAAAATCAGATCCTTTGATCCGCTCACATACTTGTGTAGCGATCTATGTGAGTGGATCAAAGGATATGATTTTAATCAGATTGAGTTTCAAGACTCTACTCAAAGTTTTACTCCCCCCTCCCCCCATAATATTATACAGTCAGAAAACCTGTCCACAATTGGACAAACAGATTAGACATATAGTGCCATTCCATAAGACATTTGTCTAGATACAGGCATACAAAAATAAAATAAATAAACAATTCTTTTCAAGCAATACATTAATTTTTCAGATCTAAATCAAAATACTAACCCTACAAATAAACAATGGAAAATAAAAATTTCACAGCACAAAAGCACTCCGTTAAAATTTGTATTAAAACTGAAATTACTGTCATCTGCAACACACAATGACTCCAGTGAAAGCAAATGCACAAAAAAAAACCATTCCCGGAGATTCAGTAATTAATATTATCAAGATTATGAAAACTGAAGGCAGTGTTTTCAAAAATGGCCCCATATTTCTTATCATTTGGTTTTAAATTTTGTGACTAAAAGTACATGTGTAATTAACTTGGACAGTAAGGTGCACTTTTGAACATCATCCAAACGTTTATGATTAGGTAAAATAGCACTGCTCCAAAAAATGACCCTACTTGTTGCATTACACCAATCCACATTAGTGCTCTTTGACCCTGTGACCTAAACACAGTAGCTATGGCAACTTTGGAATATGTTAAAAGCAGTCCTCCAACAACCCAAATAGTGATCTGAAACAGAATAATGTTAATTTTAATCCAATCAGTTGTGTGTCTAATAAATTGAAAATGGTTTTTTTTTTTAATAATCATCCCACATTCAATTGATTAAAATTCATTTGAACAAAGGAAATTCTGGCCACAAATTTCTTTAAAGACATGCAAAATATGAAGTGAAAATTTGATTTAAATAATTTGGATATTCATAATAGGTGACTTACAATGAGGGCCTCCCCAGTTTGTGTTCCAACAAGTAATGGAGTGGGGCTAGCTGCTGCAGTATACAGGATAATAGCTGCTACCAAGGACCCCAGAAAGGAAAGGAAACTTATAACAGTGGAGGAAGATGCTGAATAGAACATTGCAATAAAGCAAGCTACAGGGTTAGAAATATTGTACAATGCTGCTGTTAGATGGTAAGCTGAAATTCCATATGGCATGCAAGAAAATGTCTGGATAGATGGAAAGACACTATTTGTGAGGGAATTCAAAAAAGCTGTCAAAATCAAGAAATATATATACAGTGACTTGGATATAGGCTGAACTATTTTGGTTATTTTTATGTCATCATTCAATATCCCTGATTTGTCCACACTTTGGGCATTAGTTCCTTGCTTTACAAGTTTGGATGTAGATGATCCTATTGTTGATGGGTCTGAAAAAGTTATCCTTCCCTGTGTTTCCCCATTAGTTAGTTCATAGCTGCTTTGAAATTTACTATCATCTGATGTTTCTGAGATCTCATCGTCTGAGGCGTACTCTTTTTTGTAATATGGAACATAGTTCAGAAGTGTAAATGCTATACCACTGGAAAAAACCATAGCAAATAGAAACAAAAAGAAATCCCTTACAGGGAAATTTGGAGGGTTGGATTTTGGATATACACTGTACGTTGTTATGTTGGTTGTGGTGTTGGTTGAGGACACATTGACACAGGACACAGACCCGCTGCCCTGACCCAGTGCTACCAGACTCGGCACCATTCCACTCATTCCCTCTCCAATAAAATAAGCCGTCAAATACTCTGACTTAAACTTCACCATGAAAGGAAGAAAGACAACTGATGTAGTACAGTCCACTAAAGCTAGGAAAAATTGTAACACAAGCAGCACTATGCTTCTCTCTTCTCCAGCAACGTAAGCTGTAGTTTTCCAGTAGAAAGCAAGGAACAGACAAGCTAAACTTCCTACTCCTAATATGACATAAACCACACCTATGTTGTTAAGTTTGCCAGGGGCACACAAATGAATAATAGTTACTAAGAGTGGTCCTATGTTGGCAATTTGGATTATTACTGATAAATAGGAAGGCAGGTTCCATCCTTCTGGGAGACCCTCTGTAATCATTGCTGGCAGTTCTACCCATAATCCATTGATGTCTACCCATGATCCAATGCCAAAAATGATGACTGTAATATACACAATGATGTCTATATTTTTACACTTGAACATCCTTGATTCTGGTTCAGAATCTTCTGCCTGGGGTACACTTGTCTGAAGAACAAAGAAATATTCATTAATGAATTATCAAAGGAAAAATATTTTCTTGTCTTAATATTTACACTAGAATCAATATATTATAGTATTAAAATAAACAAACATATCTTGATTATATCAGACTGGCCAGTAAATTATTCAGCATTACCTTCTATAAAATAATTAAAAATTTAAAAAATCTCTCACAAACATACATCTAACACTGTTAAACCATGTTCTATACTGTAAGTGCACCATGCACATGCAATTTCAGATGGTTAATTATAAAAGCAAAACATTTCAAACTTCTGTCAGAATAGACATGTATCATGAAACCTGTAACTGTCAAATAAATTTGTCAAGCCAGAGAGTAGTGCAAAACTTTTACAACATATGTAAACAGTTGAAAGTGTTCCAATAGGAACAGTGCCTGACACCAATAAATTATTATATTAATAAATTTGATAAAGAATATATATCAAAACATTGACAAGCGGGATATCTGTGATCTTCTATCAAACACTGAATGATGTTTTTTTTTTTTGCAATTTTACTTTGGGCAGCACATACATGTATCCTAACAAAAATTCCTTGACAAGGAAAAATAAATATAAACTAGAGGTACTGAGCAATGAGCATTGAGCACTGAGCTCATATGACTATAATGGCAAAGTCCATGTTTTGTTATGGGAGACCCCCCCCCCCCCCAAAAAAAAGAGTCAGATCAAAAAGTAAAATAGGAGCGGCAATGTACAGCACAATGGCACTATGTAATAAAGATTCTGTGAAAGTCTCATTAAATTTCATTCAGTGGTGTAAGAGGAGTTGCAGGCACCCCAAAGCATAACGGATGTACCTACAGACAGATGGACACCCCCATCACTATACACCCCCTGCATTTCAAGCAGGGGGTATAAAAAGGAGCAATCAGATGTTATTTATCGGGCACACAGTATACATGTATTAGCTTTGATTCTTATTTAATACATAGTATTTATATATATATACTGGCAAAAATTGAACAAGGGTGGGTGGTTACAACCCCAACATCCCTTCCCCATCAGTTCCTATCAAGGATCTGTCTGTTATAATTAAAGGGGTGCAAAAAGAGAGAAATATAAGCCTACAGTTTAATTGGTGGAGTGCTCTTGATTCATCATGACGTGGGCTGTTATACATCCTGAACTAGAGGAAGTTGTATAATACATTCCTTTTTACACTTTGGACAAAGTCAGTGTATCTAACCTAGTGTTGAAGTAGTTATGCAATCATAGGTATCTAATTTATCATGTGTCATAGACACTGATATCAATCAACATAATAAATATAACAGTTAATTTTAACATAACATGATTATTAAACTAGTTGTTAACCTTGAATATTCGGTTAGGTTAACACTGAACGTGTGATGATGGATTTTTTTTCTCTTGTCTATGAATCTGAATAAAACAAACTACTTACAATGTATTCATCATTTTTCTGATCAAAGGTCATCTTATGATGCAATACACTTATCGATTGGCGCTCTGTACCTCTCATGTTTGCGGCTGACTGATGTACCTGTTCAATTCTATTTTTGTAACATTGAAAAGGTAACACTCACCCAAGTGTAGTATTCATGAGCTCTGTTACGAGATCCCATTATTTAAAAGTCTATTAAATCCAAATTCCACGTGTTTCCAAGCATGTTACAGCGTTTTATAACTCTTTTTTATCCAATAAGTCAAGTCGGAAACATCTAATCATGCATAAGAACTAAAGTCGAGACGTTTAAACTGTATAAATGCGGCAAACCGCTCCGAGAGTGATAAGCATGTAGTTGGTCATGTGACTACTTTGTAGGCATGTCTCTTAATTTGCAATACAGGAATGCATAATAATTTTTCCTCGAAAATAGTACATACAGACTGTATTCTGTTTTCTTGCAATATTACTACTCCCTCAAATTACATTGCGAATTTTTATAGACTGTTCAAAAGAATTCATGCCGTTTTTGATTGGGGTGTGTTTAAAATAACATATTGATATCACCTATTCATTGTACTGCATACATTTAATCTATACAGGAAGTTCAAGTAAACATATTTTAGTCTCTGTACTTAAAATTAATAATAATAACAGAGAGAATGCATCAATAAATGTAGCAAAGCTGACTGCAAGTAAAGTATACATGTATAACTTCACAGGGATTAATTTAAATTGTAACAAACAGAAAATCTTAAATTCAGTTTATTTGATCAATCAATTCCAAAATAGTAGAGGATGTGGCTCAAATTAAGTTCAACAAGGCCAGAGAATCTTTAAAATTCTTTTTTTTTTTTAAGTTTTTTTTTGAAGAGTGACGAAATCAATATCATCATTTTTTTTTTTAAATCAATGCTACGAATATCAAATCGTTCTTCTACAGCATTTTATAAGTCCATCCCTTACTTTGCACTGACGCTAGATTGTCTTGAAGAGGGGACCATTCATTATTTAATCTTGTAAGAAATGCAAATAGGTGATATCACCAATTTAAATGGGTGATATCATCTATTCAAACAGGTGATATCACCTATTCAATTCAGATACATGTAGATGATATCACCTATTCGAATGTTGATAGATCTACTTATATCGAATTTGTGATATCACCTATTCGAATAAGTGATATATGAATGAGTTATATCATATCATTTGTTTGAATAGGTGGTATCACCTTTTCGAGTAGATGATATCAATTTCATAAATGGAAATAAATACAAAACGGCGCCTCATAATTATTTTCCCCTTTACATAAATCTGAAAAAAGGTTGCATAACATAATTTTAAAAGAATGTGGACATATTCTTACAGAGCAATTTTAATGACAAATATATAAATTGGTCATAACAAAATAATGAATCGTGCATTATAAATATATGCATCTGGAATTTTACAGACCACGTCACATTGAAAAGAATCTTTAGATTGGCTTAAAATTAATGGAATGGGAAATTGCAATTACTGTTTAAGGTTGGATAAAAGTTTATTTAATTTAACAATTATTTTACAAAGTTGCAATGAGAAATGACATTATATTTATTTAAGTCAAATTAGCGTTAATTATGTATTTAAAGCAGATTTGTTCCTGAGTCGAAGGACATACGAACTTTAGTGCACATAGCTAAAAAAGGAGGAGAAAAAGTCTTACACATTTAAAGAGAAATAATTTTCTTTTTATTAAAAAGAAAAAAAAATGAATTAAACGGGCATGATTTCAATAAGACCAGAAGTGATAACTTACAATTAAGCCGTACAAAATAAAAGTTTCTTTAGACCAAGCACTAAAACAATCACTTAATTACTTTAGAAAATAACATTAAGTAATATATATATATATTTAAAACAAACCAACTAAATGAAATTTCATTCCATTTTTTTTTTTTAAAAACTCAATTAAAAGAAATCAAAGTACCTCTAGTCTTAATAATTTATCCTTATTTCGTTAAAACAAAACACGTAAATCCCCTCCAGATCAGGTGAGATCCTCCCTTCATTCAAAATTGTAGAATGAGTTCACTGGGAGGATCAATAACCTAAAATGTAAAATTTAAATGACCTGAGGCATCGCAACCATCAAGTAAATTTACAAGTTTGAACAAATTAACTGGGGTCATTATCCTAAAATGGTTGTATAAACTCTTACATCAGATTCCTGTGACTATGTCAAGGACAACTTAAGGTCAAGATCTAGTACTTAATTGAAAGATGCTGGTCTAAACCTTGAAAAAATAGCTCTTTTTGAAACGGAGAAATATCAGTCATGCCAGTTAGAAATTTTCTAACCCAAACCAGACCATAGGAAGTAATTTCCCGGGGGGGGGGGGGCTATCAGAAAATTAGAAATTGACAAACAGGGCTGTTTTTTGGATAGGGTGTGCGGATTGCAGAGGAGAGTCTGGGAGGGGTTTCTCTTCCTTCTGAGCCAGAACTTTTGTTTATAATGAGCACCATTTCGGTGGGTTCTGGTGTATTCTTTCAAATATTAAATAAACAAAATCTAGAGCACTACTTTAAACAGATAAGTATTGAATTTATTTGTTTAAAAACATTTTCGAGCGATTGTTTTTAAAGGGGGGAGGTCCGATCGCACCCAACGCATCCCTGTTCCGACGATGTTGACAAGCAAAGTAAAAGAAAAGATCATCAGACGTTCCTATTATGTTAGTATATGTAGGCAAAATTATGGGAGGGGGTTGGCCCTCCCCGATTCCTACGGGCCTGTAAATTGCTTTAAATTTATCGACATGCAAAATCAAAAGTATGAAAGTGAAATGGTTGTAGAATCACAGGCACCTGAAGCGTGGACACCCCCACCCCACTAATAAAATATAAGGAGTCTTTATTTTCTCGAAAATATGTAATTTCTCCGCCACTTCCATCTGTATGTCATTCTGTGCAATTGATTGTTACTTTAGTTAAGGTTTAAAAAATTGTCCATATACGGTATAATAAAAATACACTTTTTTATTATACCCTATATGGTCAATTTTTAAATCTTAACAAAAGTACAAACCGATTGCACAGAATGACATACAGACGGAATTGAAAATATCTTAATTCCGAGAAAATAAAGATTGAAGAAATATCTTAATTCCGAGAAAATAAAGATTGAAGATGTTTTCCACGCTTCAGGTACCTGTGGAAGAATGCATGCATGCGTGCTTTCATAAATGAAGAAACGCTCTGATAATAATTTCACAGTATTGTTTTTGTTTAAAAGTAACCCTTACTTACTTCACATAATTCAGCGCTTTGAAACAACTGTTATGCCATAAACATTAAGATCGCCGTGCTATAAAAAAAATTACAGGGGCATATTTAATACGGTAGCGGATCCAGCGGAAAGGGGGGGGGTCTGGACTCCCTAGGATTTTCATTTTTATATAGTAATCTAAGAATGACTTTGCCACCCTCACGGCCCCTCCCAAGTTTATAGGAAGAGTTATAAATATGAAGGAAAGTGGCTTGTCCATGAGATCTTGATGTAATATATATTTTTCTTAATCATAAAACCCCCCTTCCTAATCAATAACATGACTTGACCACCAATATGCCATATAAAGATGATTTATACAAAAAGTAAAAAAAGGCCCAAGTGTGAGAAGGGAAGGGTGTTTCTGCCTTCAAGCAACTATGAAAATATGGAGATTATCAAAATTGATAGACATGCCTACCCCTGTCCTCTATTTGTAGTTTCTGTTATTTGTATGTTTAAATAAGTCTTCTTTTTTAAGAATAAACCTTATATACAGTTCTTTTAATGTATTTGTCAAGGGTGGATTAAGGTCAAGGACTTTTTTCAAAGTCAAAAAGGGGGATGGGGGATTCCCCAAAATTCTACTAGAAAAGAGGCCTTAATATGATAAACCTAATTTGTGGAGAGGGGATTTGGACACAGTCTTATCCACATGTGCGTATACGTAACATTAAATATTGTAAAAAGAAAACACAGCTACTTTGTAATAAAGCAATAAAGCTGGTTTATTCAAGTTTTTAAAATCTTCAAAACATATACAAAGTGAGATCATAATACATCATAAACAGTAACTGAATAAAACATCTCTGATGCCAGGACTGCTTTCATACAAAATTGATAACTTCATTGTCAAGATGGAATATGATACATAAATCTTGACAATAAGTGTAAGAATACTGTTGTATTAAAAAAAAGAAATATTTTAATTATTATCATTTTTACATTCTCCAAAGTTTGGAGATGAGAAAATTCATATTCAATATTTCTTATTATATAGATATATATATCTGCCTCTGTTTCTTTTGTGATATGTTTAGTTTTTAAGAATATAATGCATATGGATCTAAATTAATTTAAAGTTTGAAAAATAGTTTTGAATAAAGAAACAGAAAATGCATGCATTCAAAATACTAGTATTTGATATAAAATTAAAATATTGTAGGTTGTACAGTAGAACAAATTGTGAAACAAATAAATAACAATATCTGTGTATATCAGCTTAAAAACAGGACCATTTATAATGCTGAGTTATTATAACTATTCAAATTCAATACCTTAGCAGCAAAGACAACCTTGACAAAATTGAAAAAAAAAAAAAATATATATATATATATGTACATGTATGCGCAGCACTGACTACATTGCAAATATCTTTTGAATTTTAAAAACAAAACAAAAAAAAGCCCTTATACTGAATGTCAAGGGCTGTACATAGGGAATAGTTTGCTGTGAATGATCTTAACAAATATGATATGTATGTAACAATTATGTTTGTGAACAAAGAATGGAAATACTTTATATTTAATAAATAAAAAAAATATGGAATGATAATTGATGAATGGCAATAAGTATCAAAACAAATAAATTGGAATGAAATAGGGAATGATTAATACTCGTGGAAAAAGGTAACTTGAATTACAAGGACTCTCGCATGATATCACTGAGAACCTATAATATTGCAAACATTGAGGAATGGTTGACAAAATACAAAGTACAACTCTGATAAATTTAGATGAAATAATGGAATGTTTATGCATCGTATATGTCTCTGAAATGTATTCAACTGTCCTATTCATATACTGCTAAAGCACAAAAGTGTCTGTAGCCTCCAGGAATATTACACTCTACTATGGAGTTGTCTTTCTTGTCATGGAATACATTTCAGCTGTACAATAGAATTTCCAAATGGAGATCACCTTTCATTTTCCTAGTGCTCTATATGTTGAAATTTCTGCATGTTTCACTGTTTCCATGCATTTGTATAAATAAAAGCATGGAGATTAACTTTGCAGATTGTGGAAGAACTTTGGCTTTGAGGGAGAAACACTGGGTTCTGAGTCACCACAGGGATATAGCATGTGAAAGGGTTTATCACAGTGAGAGGATTGGTGCACCTTAATTACTGCAGCAGTAGATGTCACCGATGGGTTTTGCATGATAGACAACAATGTGTGCCGTAGAATTCGTGGTCACAGACTTTGTGTTCAGGTACTAAGTGACACCATGTGTATCTGTCAAGGCAGTCTGCATAGTCTACAAGACAAAATTTGATTCATTAAATATTGTGAAATCATCAGTTTTCAGGGAAAGGGGGGGGGGGTAAATTTTTTTTGTGGTATGGAGAGACCCACTTATACATTACTTGTCCCCCATGAAATGTTTAAATTCAAAACTACAGTATAATATTTCTTTTTCAATCATGAAACTAAATACCCTCAAACCAATATTTTTTCCTCAAACCACGAAAATTTGACCCCTCGAATAGAAGTGATTTTACAGTAATATTTCAACAATTCTCACTGTGACAAAGAGATAACCCTCTCTAAAAGATGATGATAATAAGGTGTGCAAAAGTCTTCCCCACCACAAATTGACCTCAAAATGACAAGTTAGATAATTAATACCGTACCACTGCTATTAGTTGGACAAGCACCGTTTTTACAGAGTTGTGAGGTAGCTGGACGGTTGTCAAGGTCACATCCTAGCGTCTGTTGTCCGGAATCATCTACACATTTTATATCTCGACTCTTCTGTCCCTCTCCACAGGATGCTGAACACTAAATAACATCAACACAAAAGTGTCAACGTATCCAAATCCAATGTTCGACAGATTACCAAACAAAAAACAAAAATTTTTTATCAACTAAAAATTTGAAAGCTTCTAATTCTTAAAGGAGTACATGCTGCTCTACTATGGTGGGATCTAACCTCTTATGTAATAAATGTATAGTACAATTTCATTTATTCTTAAATATATATTCCAAAAATAAAACACTGACTTTAAAGTTACTGATAAATTAAAGGAAACATATGTGTAGAGCAACAGATAAATTTCTGCATTTATGGCAACTCCATACAAACCTGTGACCAGGGTGACACCCTCCATTTTGGCCTGTTGATGACTTTGTGAGGACAGACCATCAGTTTACAGGAATCTTCTGTTGGCACTCTTGGACGACTGGACTTCTTGCAGTATTTATCCCGAGTGGCGATGGTGTTTCCGCGATAATCCACTCTCTTACACACGAGGTACCTCTGTCTAACTCCTGGCCCACAAGATTGGGAGCACTGAATCACAAAAAAAAAAATTAATTTATCTCAACTTCTCAAAATTTAAACTATAACAACAAATGTATACAAGTATCAGGAAGAATGCTTACTGGTCCCCATGGAGATAAATGCCATTCAAAGATGGTGTCCTGTGGACATAGTGACCGTTTACAGGGACGAACACTTGGAGGCTTGTGTCCACTACACATGTGGTCAGCCTGCTTCTTAGCCTTCTTGCCTTTACTTTTGCAGAAAACTTTCCTGGCCTGTGTACCAGTGCCACAACTGACTGAACACTGCAGTGAAATATACAAGTATTAAAGTTTCTGTTTTTACACAAAAAGCCAATGAGAAAAGTAAAATCCTTTAAAAAATTCTTGTTCTAAATAATGACATAAAATGCATGTAGGTAACCAATGCAGTTAGAAAAATAAGTGTTCACTAACATACACTTTCAAAAGTGTTCATCAAATCACAATTGAAAAAAATATCAAGACTGAAAAATTTAGATCAGATTTACAAGTATATCAGAAAAAATATGAATATTAAAATTTTCTCCACACCTTGTGCCATTTGCCCACCCTCCAGACTGGGGGACATTCCTGTAAGTTACACCGTCGCGTCCGGACAGGCTTAGGCAAACTCTTACAGTTTGATTTCTTGACTCTTTTATCACGGGTTTTTGTGACTCTTTTCCGACAAAAGATTTTCCTCCTCTGTTTTCCCCTCCCACAAGTTTTGGAGCAAGAATTCCATTCCTCTGGGACCCACCTAAAAATTCAGACATACTGGTGGTTATAATGTAAGAAGTTTTGTAATTTGTTCCCTTATCACATAATAGTGTTTATCATTTTTATGATAAATGAAAACTAGTTAAAAGTAAAATTTTGAGGGAAATTTTTTAATCATTGATCAACCTGTTACATGTAATTACCTTGGAGGACATGGTTTCTCGTTACAAGGAACTAATCCAGTTGCTGGTTTTTTGCTTTGGTCACACAGAGACTCGTTTACTTCTTTATAATGATTTTTCAGACACTTGGCACTGACATTCTTTTTACCTGTAATAAATATAATATATGGTTATATATTCATTCAAAATTTATGTACTGTATCTGTTTCATGTGTCCTAGAATTTCTAAGACAAAAAAGCTATAAAATCATCTCTTAAAATTTTTCTATATAAAATACAGTCAATCCTTGTTATCTTGAACTCAATGAAAGCTATCCAAAGATTCGAAATATTGAGGTTAAAATGCAATAAGCAAATAGTGGTTAAGACTTCCAAATCAATTTGACATATACATGGAATTTGAGATATTGGAGTTCAAGATACGAAAGTTCAACTGTACAAATGTATGGTATAATTTTTGTCTGAGTGTCAAAATTTAAAGAACAAAGTAGTACCTCCTGCACATGGTTCAGAACAAGAAGAGGCTGAGATACTCCAGGTGTAATTATCTACAGGGGCGTGGCTCCTCAGCTGTGAGATCTGATGAGGGATGGCATATTTATACTGTACCCCTGGGTTTTCATCCTGCACAAGTATCTGAAATTAACAATTTTAAAAAAGATTTTTGATTCTGTTGTATCCCTTTTGTTTAATGTGAAATACAGCTTTCAAAAACTGAAAACTGATCTTTATGGCTTCAAAGAATTTAAATTAATGTTAGCTTTAAAGTATCAACTCTTACTTCAAGAACCAGGTCTTCTCTCAATGGGCCAATGCTCTCCAGGGTCTCTGGCTCATTGTAGGGTCTTTTATAGATAAACTTTGCTCCACCCAGTAAATACTCCCCCGGCCAGGCCACGCGCTGATGCCCATTCAGGTAGTACTGACCAAAAATATCCCTGACCGCCAGGTAGTTAGAGGACAGGTTCTTCTCAGAGATTTTAATTGACCTGGCTGATTTGGGTATTATGGCCACAGGAAAGTAAGCTGCAAAATTGCAAAAGCATTTTTCTTTTTAAAAATGATCTCTCTTGCTATGTTCTTGTTCTTCTTTTTAACCATTTCACAAAAGTAAGCCCTGTGTAATGTTATTTGAAAGAAGAAGCTAGAATTAATTCAGAGAATTACCCGGTACTATAGAATTCTAGCATTAGAATTCATTGTTTTGATCATCATTTATGCTGTGTAATTGTAACTTCCTTACTATTAAGTTTGGGCTGCTCAGAATATTCACCCTGAATAATTCTACAAGAAGAGTTATCCCCCTTACACACTCCACAGATATCATTTTCTGCAGTTGAGCCCACGATCATATCACATCCTATTGGCTACAAAAAGAGAGTTCAAAGTTCAACAAATTATATTGATTAAAAGGATAATAAGGTTTCAAATATGAATAAAATCAATATTTTCTAGCAATATATAATGCTAGAGGGTGCTTTAGTTAGAATTCTTTAGCTTTCTAGCTTTAGTCAGAATTCTTTGGCTCTCTGGCTTTTGTCAGAATTCTTTAGCTTTCTAGCTTTAGTTAGAATTCTTTAGCTTTCTAGCTTTAGTCAGAATTCTTTGGCTCTCTAGCTTTAGTCAGAATTCTTTGGCTCTTTAGGTTTCCAGCTTTAGTCAAAATTCTTTGGCTCTCTAGCTTTAGTCAGAATTCTTTGGCTCTCTGGCTTATGTCAGAATTCTTTAGCTTTCTAGCTTTAGTTAGAATTCTTTAGCTTTCTAGCTTTAGTCAGAATTCTTTAACTTACTTGACATGCTCCTTCCACACAGATTTCTTTATCTCCGATACACTTCATTCCATCTGTGGCTGTATGTTTTATTGTGAATACATAACTACTGGTCTCTGCTAAACAATATAAAATACAGGGTTCCTGTGCTGCAACAAAACAGAAATAGGCATAATGATAAATTCTAAGAATATAATATAACAACATACAGCAAAAGATTTCAAAATAATTTCATTTCAAAAGTCCTTTTATCAATGGTAACAAACATTTTGAAGTGAAGTTACTAATTGTAAATTTAATGTTACCATTATACATCTTCTGATGAGGCCTCCAGTCTAACAGCCATCCCCTGAATGGCTTCTCATTATAGGATTGACACTGTTTGTTGTGAAAATCTATTTCACCCTCTGGACAAGGCTACAAATAAAAAAAATCATAAAACCATTCACTTTTATTTTCATTGGTTAGCACTTATTAATGAGAATTGAGCATAAAATAAATCCCTTTCTTTACCTTTGAGTTGCACAACTTATGAACTTTGGCTTCTCCATCACAGTTTTTTCCTCCATATTGTGGTCTGAAAGGAATTAAGTATTGAATCTTCATGCATTTTTTTATTCAAATAAGAAACCAACTTAATTGCATCATGACCACACAGAATAAATTAAGAGTTATATTTTTCTTCTACTCACAGTGGTTTATTGCACTGCCTCTCCCTCATGGTGACCCCTCCCCCACAGGTTCGACTACAGTCTGTCCAGTGTGTCCACTGTGACCAGCTACCATCTATTGGAGAGGGTCCATCCTGACCAAATTCCACACATTCTCCTCTTCTACACCACTACAAAAACAAAATATCTGTCAGTTTAGTCATCCTGACACTGACATACACTGGCATCAGGCAAATACACATTCATATTTCAGCTCTTAACCCCCCCCCCCCCCCCCCCCAAATAAAAAGGAAGAAAGTAGAAAGCTGTTTCTCAGTGATAAGAGTTACCTTTCCATAACCACAGGAGGTACCCTCTGCTGCTGGTAAGAACTTTGTCTCACATCTCTTCCTCCCTCTAAAGCACCATAGAGACTTACATATATCCTACAATACAAACCAATGGATAGTGATCAAAACTTTTAATTGAGCCAAAATAGAAATGAAGTTAAGCAAATTTCTTCTTGCTGCATCCTATGGATTACAATTTTAGTTTCCAAAAGATTTGTGACTTTAAAAAAAGACTCACTTTACCAAAGTCTAATGTACAGAGCTGGGCCCGCCTCCCAAACTGCCATTTACACTGAACGTCAGCATCATAGAGTTCTCCAGGAAGCTTCTCAGGGAACTGTAGCTCTGCAACTTTTGTAGGTTTGTCTGTCAGACACTCTGCTTGTGGAGTACTACAAAAAAAATCTTACTGCATGAATTCATGTTAACTCTATTGATTAAATCTCTAAACCTCATCTTTCTGCAACTTTTTATTTAAGGCATGATCTTGGCACCAAAATCTCGACTTACTTCATGAACTTCATCAGGTAAGTTTTACTGCAGAGTGACCAATGGAACTGTCCATCTTTACTGACCAGTGTGGGGGACATCAGGGTTCCTGTTGTCTTAGTACAGTGGTTACCCTCACCATCATGGAACATTCCAAAACTGAAACATAAACTCATTATCATCTTCATTATCATCACTTTCATCAACATCATCTTTACCATGTAGTCATTATGAATTTGCTTAAGGTCTGACGACACGTTCCTCAAATATCTGTTTTGTTTTTCCTTGTAAAATATAAGAAATATTCATAATATTAAAATAATCTTGTGAATTCTAAACTGTTTTCAAAATGTCTTAAAAAATAAATGCAATAAAAATTGTGATTTTGAAAGTCAAGTTATTCTAAATAGGATTATATAGGAAACACCACCCTCTGGTATCTTGCACAAATGCCTGGTAATGTACCTCAATTTTTTGTGAGGAAACTTGTTAAAGTAGAAGTACTTCAATGACAAATTCTTTGAAAAAAATATATATTATTGAGGAACGTGTTGTCTGACCTTAAAGGGTCTTACAAAGATATAGGTAATGTTATATAAATTTCTGGAAGCTAGCCATTTATTACATACTTTTAACATCTTCACCTGTCATCAATATTATCATCTTTTTATATTCAAATAAAGGGCATTACAGAAAATATGAAGGTAATATAATATTGTTTTTACAAACTAGTTATTTTTAACAAGATTTTCCAGGTATTGTAAACAAGGTTTTCTAAAACTTCCTGATGTCACTTTCAAGGTTAAATGGTTTGAACATATAAATCCATTTTTCATACTTATGTAAATTATATCACAATCTCAAATACTAATACGAGCATTCTGAATTTTGTCTTTCTCCAAGATAAACTAGAGAAATTTGAAATTGTAAACCACGCAAGAAAATAGAACAGGGAAAAACAAATTACAGAAAGTAAGGCAAGTCATCCCATAAACGTCAATTCCACATTTAAGTTTTATTACTTGTCTCTTTATCATAATTGTTGCACTAACCATGGAATAAAATTACATTTTTACAAGGACTCAAAGGTTCCGCAACCTTGCCCTCCAAAATCTGTTGCTTTTAAAAACAAAATACTACTATTAAAGCAGTCTGTATGTAAAACTACAATTTATTCTTTTCTGTTAAGGTGGTTTATAATATTTGTTATGGCAACTTGAGAAACACTGGTAACCTTGGCATGCCAGAACAACTGTGACTGAATTAATAAACAGCTCTTGGGAATTACTTACTTATGACCCATTTCATGAGCAATGGTGAATGCTGTTGAGAGTCCTGTGTCCTCATTGATAGTGCAGCTTCGAATTCTATTGCACATACCCTCTATGGGAGCAAAACCTACAAGCAACGTGTACATTGCAAATATTTCTCTCTGTAACTGCACTGATTGAACATATGAAAAAAATAAAATGTCAATTACAAGAAATGACAGAAAAATAGTCTAAAAAAGAAAAAATACTAGTATTTAGAGGAATTTATATACAAAACCTGAAGGAATAAGAAAACACTGTTTAACAGTTTTAAAAGTTTTTTTTCCCAAATTGCTTTACCAAGTGTATCACAGGGGGCATTTTTATAAGAGCAGAGGTCCAGTCCTGTCAGGAGAATGGCATGGTCATGTTGTCTACCACTGGCTCCCACTAACACAGACTGCCACGAACAGAAGCTGTTCAGGGTATTATCAGCATGGTATCCTATAGACAACCCAGGCTAAGAATACAAGAGGTCAGAGGTTATTCTATAACACATACAGGCTTTTATTTGTGGCAAAATTCTTATCAAATTACAAATTCTGGAAAAATTATGCCTATATAACAACTAAAATTCCCATACATTTTATTCCTTTTTTTTTTTTTTTTAAGTCAGACTGGTTTTTAATATTTTTGAAATTCAAATAAGCTTTTCTTTACTTAATTGTCAGGTTCATTATTGCCTCTGTTCACTCATATAAAAGTTTGCTTCAACACTAAGAATTTCCAAAAGAAATCTAATCTATTATTAAAACACACTCAATTTCAGCATACCTTCTGGAGCAAAACGGACAATTAAGGCCTTGAAACCTGATGATAATAGCCTTGTATCTCAGTGAGAGTTACCTCTCTTACCAGAGGGTCAATGAACCTTAAACCATTTTAAATCTTAGAGTTAAACCAACCTCATCTCCCTCCAACACGACTAGTCCAACTAGAACGATATTCAGGTTATCTCCGAGACTTGGATCAGTGAAAAGCTCGGATACCTATCATAATTTACAACCAAATAAACCATGTTATCAGTATACACAAAACAAATCTCTATACAAATAACTCTGAATAATTCAATCTTTCTTTAGGATTATATATGTATTTAATTCTCATTCAATTATTTTCAAAAACTTATGTCTGACTACTAGCCTAAAATCAATTAATTCATACCATATTGAAAAGAGTTAGAGTGAAAGTTGTAATATTGTCTTTGCCGTGTTTGTAGTACATAATCTTATCCACCACCACCAAAGTTTCCACGATCCGCTCCTCATGTTCTGTTATGGCTCTCTGGTACTTCCTCCACAGTGGCTCCTCCCCCTCATCAGACTTCGTCAAGTTTTCCCCCAACACCTTGAAGTCATCATCACTTTTGACTACAGATGTACTTCTCTTATCTGAAATTGAAAAAAAAACCAATATCTTTCAATTTCTCAGTCAAATAAATGCTAGATCATTTTACAGTACTTCCTCTGTCAAATACAAAAAAAAAATGCACTTTTAACAGGTACAGTACAATTCTCAGACACTTTTGTATAGGTGGATTTTTGTTCTCTATTTCATACATTATAGGAAAAATATTAAAAAAAATAATGTGGATTGTGTGAGAGTACAGCATTCATTGTATTACATTTACACTGAAATCAAAACAAACCAATGAAACTCGGTTGTAGGGAACTCATTTATAATGAAATCTTGATAATAAGGAACTCTTTATGAATCCCATAGAAGACTTTTCACTCTCTTCCTTCTAAGGATATAAACAATCTTGGTCATAGGGAAGCAAAGTTCTTGGTCCCAGAGAATTCCATATAATCAAGTTTTATTGTAGTACAGTAATATGTTTCCTAAGCATTTCATTTATTTGTGAGGCATAATTTTCATGAATCCTTCACATACTTCTCATTATTTTGAAGAGTTCTTCATTTTTTGTGTCTTTTGGCACCTTCCTGAATTTAGTGCATAAATAAAGCCCCTTGCAATTAATATATGGTTTACATTATTCATGGAGAATTCTGACAAGCAACATTGCAAAGAGTTGGCAAGCTTTCTCAGCCTGCAGAACACATGATAACAGACCTCTGACAGGCTTTCCACAGTACTGTGTCTGTCTGACTGTCAGTGTGGATCTTCTGTACAGTTTGTGTGGGCCGGTGAGGGGATCAAACGTTGGCCTAACCCTGTGCTGTTTGTATGGTTCTATAATGTAGTCCTCTTCAGCAATCCTTATGATACCATTCTGAAATTACGTTTGAACATTTTACATGCACATCAGGTTTAGGCAAATATTACATGTACAAAGAAAATGAAAAATTATTTAATAACATTCCACATCAAGTTCTTAGCATAAGTGGAATAGTCCACTATGGTTAGATGTATATGTCTTAATGTTTTTATTTTTGACCACACCAAACCAAATCTTGAAACTATATTAAATTTGTATTGTATTAGATCCCTTCCATATCAGCTATCACTATTTATTAATTATCAAAATGAGGCTATATTGCAGAAAAATACATGTACATGTATCTGACTGACTGTTGTGTCATATCTTCAATCAGCATTAAAAAATTCCATCTAGAGCATTATTAAAAACCACATTCTAACTTCCAAATGTCCAATAAAAATATAAGTACATGTACTACAAGTAGTAATTAACCCTAAATATTCAACAAAATTGAATATTATCGAATAATTCTGTTGTATTAAATAAATTAATAAATTATCTCGACTACCATAAACCATCATAAACCACAGTGTCTCATAAAAAACCTCTCTTCTAAAGCCTTCTTTCACAAGTCAAAACAGGTGACACTTTTACCCATAAAAGTCTGACCATTTCAAATAGGATATAGATATATCGCACTGTCATAGGAAACCCCTGTCTGTCCCCATATTGAAAATGACACTGGATTATAATATTCTAACAAGATAGGACACCAGCTTAACAGACATTAATGTCCCTTAAAATGACATTTTTATCTGAAAACACTTTCAGATCTGCCAGTCCAAGCATCTGTTGTATTAAAGGCAGATGAAAAAAAAAAAGAAGAGAAAAAATAAAAAAAAATATGACTCAAGCTCTTTGAATAATGAATTTCCACCTTTGCAGCTTTAAACACTATAGGATAAAAATACAATAATTAATGCTGACATTCACACATACATTTATTAAGAGTATGTAGGGCAGATTTTTTTGGATTATGAATATAAATGCTCACACTTTTTGACAACAGTACACAGAATATGTCTGGTGACTCTTTCACCTACAATCTCTCACTTACGCTTCATAAATACAAGAGAAAAGACAATTTCATTCACATTTTATTTGTAACCCTCAATTTTCACTCATTCATACTAGACCCCATACTTATCTCAGTGAAAGGGAGGTAACCTTGACTGGAGGCTACTTGTCATTTAACATTTGCACTTCCTATAACCCATAATTATCTCAGTCTGCTTAGGATGTTTATTGGTGATAGTTGTCATTTAAAGCCACAATTTTATCTTGAATCTGTATTCTTGTTACAGTAAAAGAAATGCTGTGTTTAAGAAACAATGAAAGTTTGTTATTCATTTTCAGTCAATTATCAAAATGCAACATGTACAGTGCAGGATTAAAGTTTGCACTTGTATGCAGTGAACCTTATAATTTAGACTCAAAATGTTTCTGAAAAAGAGAACTGTAATTCTCCATTTGATGGATCCCCTATATGTTAAATATGCAAACCCTGAATCCATTCTCCAAAAATTATTTCTGATTATAAAGGTAATATTAAAAAAAAAAAAAAGAAAAAAAAAAAAAAGAAAACAGAATATCTTTCATGCACACAGCTGAAAACATTTTAGGAAATTTCTTTTTTTGAAAAAGAGAAAGAAAAAAAATCAAGTAGCACTTTTCAGAAAATAATTTTAAAATAAATCTACATGAACTTGAAATATTCAAACACTTTATGAGTTCCAAAAATAAATTTAGCGAGTTCATGCACATTCAATAAACACTGTGTTGGACCATTCAAGTTCAACAAGATAATAAAAATTTTCCTCTTGCAATAACTCCCCCCCTTTTTTTTAATTATTAATCTTTAAAAAAAGATGTCCAGATTGTGTATGTTACCCTCAAGTAACAACACACCTTTTCAAGTTGATGAAAAAAACATGGTAAAAATTCCTCCTGTCCCTGTAAGCTCTAAAGGTCCATTTTTTCTGACCTTAGCATGTCCTAATGGCAAGGACCCTATAAATATTCCTTATAAATAATCATGCATGATGTATGACTTTCTTTATACTGACCAAGCCATTACATAAAGACAGAGCAGCTCTTCCTCCATGAGAATGCACTTTTCCTGAGTACTGACAATTTGCTGCAGGAAGATGGTCGTCTTTAGGTTCTGCAGTCTCCATGGCATCTTTGGAATGCTTGCTCTTTTTCCTGTGATAAACTTTAAATCCTGGTGCTAAGAGGTTACGATTTTCAGTCAGCTGCATTTCAAATGTGTGACCTTGACCTGTGATATTGAGGTATAATGTGTTTGTCCTTGAAGAGTCTCTTTTGAATCTGTTGCCATGGATATGATGATGTGAGACAGGGTTTCCTGAGAAATCTGATATGATTGGATGAACAATTTCAAAGTCTGCAAAAGAAAATTAAAATGTGTATGCATTACATATACACACCTTTCCTTTTAAAGACCTTTTGGTTTTCTTGAATATGAACAAAGGCAGATTTACAAATCAATATCAACAGAAGCTTATAGAGTTTGGTAAAGTGGGTAGAAATACGTTCATGGAGAGACATAAATGTCCCTCTTTGCATGACATTTGCAACATCAGCAGAAATGAGATTGAGGTCATTTGGAGGTTATTTTATTTTTAAACAAAAAAAGTGTATGTCTAATATTCATATGTAATTTTTGATAGCAATCAGATTGGATCAATAATGGATAGATGGAAAAAAAAGAAACATGTTCAATCAGAAATGTAAAAGGATAGAGGATGAACATGAACAACACTTTTACCCTCATTTATGTTATTAAACAGGACGACTTGTATAAAAATATATTTGCATGAAAGCTTTGCTTTTATTTGTCTACTCTTTTCATCCAAGAGAAAATACTTCTTCAATAGGTACAAAACAGTCAGCTACTGTACATCAGTTCTCTCATAGGGTTGCTCAAATAATCAAACACCCCTGAAAAGAACCACAGCGATCATTGGGGAGACTGTCACCCCACGGATTAACAAACAGTATAATCTCAGTCGGTGTCAAGAAACACAATAACGGAGGTCCGAGTCAAGTTTCTCTCATGCTGAGATAGACTTAAAGGAAAAAAATTAAAAAGGCAAACGCAGCACTGGGTATTCATAAAACATTATAGAATCTAAATAATGTCTTTTGTGAAGAGCCTTCTTAATTCTTTTTTAATTTGCACACAAAGATCAGAGGTCGGACCATTTCTCATGACCTCTCTAAATCTTTACATCAAGTTTTATTGTGATTTATGCATTAGGTTTGCCTTGCTTAACTACCACATATAATTTTTATGAATGAAGATAGGATGAAATAAAAATGTCACTACGAATAATTAAACAGATCAGCTCATCCCGCTTACATTGTTGTGCAAATTGTTTTAAAAATTCCACAAAATGAGGCTCTTAAGTTAACAATTTGAGTTTTATACTTTAAAGAGGACAATATATACTCTACAATGAAACATTAAGGTAATTACTAGCTATTAATCTGCACAGAAAGAGGCTGTGGCACATCCTAGGTACTTCTTTTTTTTTACCGGACCCCCATTACCCAAGAAATTAAGTGATTTATATTCAGGGTAATTAATTTATATACCATGTCTCATGACTTTGCAAAGCTTTGTAGGATCTAAAAAATTTAGGATACATTCCTGTAAAGGCAACAACAGAACATATTTAAGTTATAAAGTGCCTCTCCAAAGGCAGCCATCTTTATTTCATTAAAATTAGTCCAGTGCTTATTTGAAGACAAAAATACAGTAAAGCTTGTCTAATTCAGATGTTGTGTATTTCAATATCTTGACTATTACAATGTAATCTTCAAGTCCCTTTATAAATTCAATTGTTTAAAATGTTGTCTAATCCAGAAAGTTGTCTAATCTTGCCAATTTCTGTGGTGTCTGGATTAGACAACTTTTACTGTTCAACTCCATGACCATATAAGCATATTTTTATCTTTATGAGAAATAAATAAAAAAAATTTCAATTATGATCCTGAAGATTTCAGTTACTAAAATTCAACAGCTATTCATAATAGTTTTATTATCTACAGGTACACACAAGTATCAATATTGCTGCCAAACTGTTAATCACAACAGAATTTGACACTTTTAAAATGTTCTTTAAGTGCAGTTTGCTGACCAAAGATTTTGTGTACAGTTGGTGAAAATGGATAGTTATATGAGGTCATTCAAATAATTGAATCATTACATTTTATTTGTTTCACTCAGCTAAAACTGCCATGAGACAGGTGTTCCTGCCATGATTAAAGTATAAAACCTGACAAAAAGTTGAATTATTGCAGTAGTAAAAAGACAGTCACCAAAAGTTCATTTGGCAACCAGTAAATCACAAAATCATAATTTCTCCCCATAAAAGCAAGCTTTATTGACTAGAACTCAGAGTCCTTTAGAGAATCTGAATTATTTTCCATTGAACGTTTAGTGAGAGGAGGTGTTAGATAGATAGGTTGTTGCTCAGAAACTGGTTCTCATGCTTTAAACTGGTGATTTATAGCTATAACTACTTCAAGGGGGTATTTGGCCCTACCTTAATCTTCAGGAAAGCAGTAGTATATTGCAAGATAATTATGAAGAGGCATAGAATTTTTTTTTCCATTTAATTTACCAATACCATACCTACTCCAGTTGTAGAAGGTGTTAAATTGCAAATGAAACCATTAATTTACTGGGTACATGCATCCTTAAGGACCCTCTCTACACTGCACCCTATTTTCAGGGTACTTTTGTGTAATTAGACTGACCCACCATTTAACATATAAGTAGAATAAATTGTAATCTGAACTTTATCACATAATTTAAAATAAATCCAAGTATTCTAAACATTATATTAGACCAAGATAGAGTATTTGAAAACTTTATTTGCATGTATTTTATCCATTTGAGTAAGCGAAGGCAATTTTTCTTTTCTATTACTTCATTGTCTTTGAAGATTTTTCCTGAATAAAAAAGGCACACTCCCTATATTAAAAATGAGTCAGTTAATTTCAAAATATCCTCTTTCATGTTATATAATTTTCTCAAAGTCCAAAAACATTTTTCATCAGTGTATAGGTCCTTAAAATTAACACACCATATATGTACATATTTTAGAGGAATTCATATTTTGATTAAAACTTTTGTTTTGATTTGTAAATACAGGTATGGTATCACGAAAAATCAACACACAAAGGTCCTGAATTATGAATTCTCCTAAGAAACACTGCAAAATATATCTAATCACTGATCATCCAATTCTAACAAGTTCATTCTATCGATGAGTCTACCGGAGACAGCTTGACAAATGTCATGAATATAAATACCCCATCATTACACATACAGAATAGGTAAAACAAAAGTAATATTTGTTAATTACTGGTACATAAATTATGCAGTAGGGTGATACATACTAATTGAGTCACACTTATAGATAGCTTTCTGAAAAAATTGAAATTTGTGTTTATCTTGATCTGAATGGTAGATTATTTTAAAAGAATGAGAGAACTATTGACAGTTGTTTCATTTTCACAACAGTACGTACATTGAAAACATTGAATACGTAAACATTGAATGAGATGCTACATGTACAAACGAAGTTATATTAAATTTTTTACCTGGTTTATCAGACTTATGAAATTCTTCTGATGCCACTAATATGGAATAAAACAGCACCTGTTAAAAGACAAATATTTAATATCAATAATTATAGTATTGCCAAATCATGTAAGGGTAATATGCACACTAGCAACTGATGAGAGAATAATGTAACAAAATGCAGTTTCAACCATTATGAATTCAAAGTACATTGGAAATATCTAGTTCTTGATGCTTTTTCTATCAATTTTTACAAATGTCTAATTGCTGATTTATCAACATAAAATATTTGGGAAAAATTGAATGATATATACTCAAGGCTTATATACTTATGTTTTCAAAATGTTTAAACTCTGACGTCAATAAATCCTAAATAAATCTTATACTATATCCTACTCATCAACAACACTAAATGTAAACATAAATCCTTTGTTATATCTAATTGCAGGTAGACAAAATGTTGACATTAAGTTTATTGTTATGTAAACCATGGATTCTATAAACAGCCGCAGACAATTACGGAACAGAATACAAATATCGGCAATACAATCGCTGAGACTTCATTATTCCCAGGTCTCCTTAATTTATGTCATTTGCAGATAAGATTTATTTACCACTAATGACAAATCAATGATTCTGTACATGTATAATCTGGGTTTTTGTTCAATCCCCCCTGACAATGTCTCTTAAGTATATTAAAACTACGGAATCTTTTATTACTTGTCAAATTAACTAAGATTCTGTTCTCCTAGTCGGATCTTTCAATGAGTAACAGATGCCATGAGTTCAGAATCGGCGTCACAGGCCAGATACCCATCTAAATCTCCCTTCTCTCTCGCGTCGTAAACAATCTACCCGACACACTAGACCATTCCTTTATTTTTCTCACTGGTCTTTATGAATGAAATTCTAACGATGTGGACTTTAAAAAAAAAAGTTCTTGGCCTGGTGACAATTTTCTGTAACCAAAACCCTCTATCTGACACCTCCGAATGATGATGTAATTATATACATGTTCCAGTTATTGAAGACCATTTGATAGTCATCTTTGTTTGCAGTCAATAGACCCCTTCTGGTCAATTTAAGTTGAAATTGTATTAATGGGAATTCATTTCATAACCTACATGTAGTAAGTACATGCCCTCTGAAAAATTATCATTTGCTTAAAAACTTCCTATATCCAAGCATAGATAAATCAAGACTTTGTCCTACAATAACTCAAAAGATAAGCTCATTAAAAGTACAAATTTCTGTAATCAAAATCTGTTAAAGGTACAGTCCCACTATCAATTCTGTTACTGGAGGAATTTCATTCAGAATTTACTCAGTATTTGACCAATCATTTGAAATGGTCTCAGATAACAGACCCCGATAAACACCCAGATTAGCTTTCAACTGTATCAAGATAGGACAAGGTACCATCATGCAACTCTAACATTAAACCACCTCTTTTGATCTTATTAGCAATAAGCATGTCAACATTTCTATGATGCACGATTTTGGCATTTAACTGTACATTTACGCTCGATAATTTAAGTTGGCAGTATGAGTTTCTAAAGATCATAATCAATGAAAATAAATTCTCAACACAAGCACATGCTCTTCAGTTGTACTTCAAGCAAGTATATGCTCTTAAATATTAATTCAATTTCACAGACTTATTATAACATGACCTTATATAGATCTCATGTACACTGACTACCAATACTGACTATTTCAATAAATGATTTATGGAATTGTATATAAGTGAAAAAATATAGAGAAAAGAACTTCAAAAATTTTACTAAATCATACAGTTGATGAACTAATTCTATCAATACTAGCTAAAATTTAAAATTGTAAAGTAAAAAAAAAAATGTGGTGGCTCAGTAGAAATCAGATACAATGTATTTGAATTTCAGGAAAGTAATGTACAGCTGTACCTGTACTATAATTTTGTTACTTTTTTGGTGTATTACTAGGTATTGACATCTTAACATTACCTAGAAAACATTCCCATACCAGCTTTATAAGAATACTTTTTTCAAAGTTACTCAGTCGTTCAAAGTTATGAAAATAAAATACATTGTTTGACCATTATGAATTAATTGTCCTTTCTGTGTGTTTTTAAATACTTATTACAATATAAATTGCTTTATGAAGATAAACATCATTCCTTTATGTATCTTTTGTGGTGAAGAGTTTCTCATATTGCTTCCTTAATCCCTTCATTTGATATCAGCAATTTTCTAACATAAAATGGAATGAACACTTTATTTTATGACAGAAAACTTAATATTCTTTTAATGAGCCATACAATGTGTTCTACGAACACAACAGTGAAAAATGTGGGATAATCCCTGTTTATGGTGACATATCCTTAGATAAGAATTGATCCCAACTGACCTACAGACAGATACTTTTAAAAATATCTAAATATCTTTATCTGTCGCTTTAAATTTGTTCTTAAGACCCCTTGTGAAAAGAAGGATTGATAAAGCTACGATTCATATAAAAATGAGAAAAAGATTCCAACTTTCCGTATTTACGCATTACTAAGCCTAGAAAATTCTTGTACAAGGTAGTCCAGTTGCGTATTTTAAAAAAAAAAATTTTAACACAGCAAAATAGATAACACTCCTTCAAAAAAGCATCAAATAATCCTATGGCTCAAAATACTTCATTATAGCATTCAAAAATTCTAAGCAACTTTGGTATTAACCAAATTTATTATGACCAAAGTCCTTCTTTCTTTCTTCGACTTATACATGAGGTTAGGTAAGAGGTAAAACTCCCTTGCATACACAAAGATTCCATTCAAAGATTAATGTTGAAAAGTTATACCTGAATGAAACCCGGGGCTTTGAGATGTGTCATCCAAGAGGGTACGTAACAGATTAATCTTACAAGAAGGAAAATAAAGAAAAAAATCTTTATTTACATACAAAGTATATCCGGGAAAAAATCCTTTAAATTGATGCAAAGCATAGTCAGGCCATCTTTAAAAAAATGTTTGTTTGCCCTCTCCTGACTCGGGATAAAAAAATATTGGTGGTAGGTAGGTAATGAATACCCCCCCCCCCCCCTTTCAACATCAGTGCTGAATTACAAAAATTGATTTAATTAAAATAGTTGTTGACGGGATGAGAAAATTCAGGAATGAATAAAAAAAATAATAATAATCGTTTCCCAGAGGTTTTTAAAAAAAAGTTTTAAAGTCTGGCCAATTTTTTAGTCAGTCAGTCAGGAGAGCGCAAACACAATTTTTTTTAAAAAATGGCTTCAGGAAAAAAATAATTCCTAATATTTACTGCCAATATATATTCTTAACATTTTCAACAGCAAAAACATTAAAACACTTCTGATCATTCTGAAAAAAAAAATTGCAGAAATGGATAGCAGTACTAGGACACATAACCAAAGACAGGTAAAGCACTAAGCAAATCGGTAAGACACTAATTTACTGTAATTTCTTGAAGCTCAATAATAGTATTTGTTCATTACTCTGCCAAATATCTGACGATGGCTAACATTGCAGCTTACTGGTTATATATAACATTTATACAAAGAAAATTTTGAACACTTTTATAATGACAAGATGATAAGTACATGTAGGAAGTACTCTGTTATGGATAGAATTTTTAAAGTTAGGTCTAGTTTGCAATATGTGTATACTAGAAGATATAATATGATTTAATTACTGGTACATGTACAATTTCTGATTGCTAGCAATCGGTCTTATGACATGAAAGGAATTTTAAAATTACTTAAAATATGTATTTCAAATTTTTTTTATGTCTTTCTCTTTCAACTTCACCCACATTAAAATATATTTTTATGCCCATTGAGTAAAGGTTCCTTTTTAAACCCGTTTTCTTTGGTCAGCTGACTGCATGAAGCCTATTATTACGTGAAAATATCTGCATATTAGTATTTTATATTAAAAAAGATTGAAATATCAAAGTGTACGAAGCCCAACACTCTTTTAAGACATATTAAATATGACAATACATGATGCTTAAAGTATGGAAGCTTACAAGTCTGACAAACACACTTGAAATTCAAAGATCCTCTAATGGGACACCGTCGCGTGCAATTCAATCACAATTCCACAGCAGGGGGAGATAATTGTTTGATTGTGGGGCATAAGATGAAAAAGACCAGCTTTTCCTTATGGATAATAAATTTTTTTAAAAAGGACCCAGTGGGACTGAAATCTAAGGAGCTTTGACTCATACAAACTCTGTCATTAATACAGTACCCACAGCGACAACCGAGGAAAGTCATATTGAGGTCACAGTTAGATTCATAATGTCTCATTTCAATGTCATAAAACTTGTTACATCTTCTTTTTGGGACTTTTATTACACATTTATATTTTCTTCAAAGGTCAAAAATATGAAGGAAAACGTAAGAAGAATTTTCCAAAAAAAAAAAAAAGATATTCAAGATTAAACATAGGTTCTGTAAGAGTTTTAATACCTTGGAGACTTTGGGATTACTAATGTACCCTGAATAACTCCGGTCTAACCCAGAAAAAGTAATACAAAACTTAATTTACATGATTTCCAAAAGATATACTTTTAGTTATTTGTTAGCAATATTATTCATCTGGGTGTGTAGTGTTAAGAAATTCAAAACTTTATTGACATGTTAGATAATTTTTCCCCTCTGTCTCAACATACAATCATATTACTCAATGATCTCATTAAAAAAATAAAGTACATCTCAGTGCATCATGTGCATTTATTCATCAGAGAGAAATCTGTTCAATGGGCTGGTGTACTGATGCATTTATGATGGTAATGAATATGAAATGTCAGTTGTTATGAGAATAATTAACAGCATAGAAAAATACTGCATTGCGTTCACTTTTTTACCTGTCACAATATAATACGTACTCATTTTTCCATAACTATCTACAGTTATGATATCTGTAATTATCTGCATCTGTTAACCTTGTGATAGAAGTATATTTTGGGTGTGCACCCTAAAATACATATCTGCTCTCTTTAATAGCTTTTGTTCAGCACCCATTCTGTCAACGGCAAAAAGAAATTAGCAGACCATATGCTGGATCATTCCCAGTTCTGCATACC